CGCGTGCGCGCGTGTGTGTGTGTGTGTGGGGGGGGGGGTGAGATTTTTGTGTTCTTAGCTCTAGTCCCCCATTGACTTAACAGTTTAACAGTAAATTTCACGCAATTTGAAACGACAAAATTGATTGTAGATAATAAATTACATGCTCTGCACGCATTTTGTCTGTAAGTTGTATTTTGATTTCTGCTCTCGTTTCGATTGCCCCCCCCCCCGAACCAAAGATGTGCGATTCCCTGTAATGACGAAATATTCAGAAATCAATTAAAAGCTCCATTTTAAACCCATTTTTGATAAAATCATACTGCATAATGATGACTATTTGAGTAATAAATCGTTTTATCATTCTCAGACGAAATGACTGGTATATGTAAATCGGTCTTTTGCATGTATGAACAAAATCAGATAATATCAACAAACGCCTAGGCATTGTTCCAGGAATAATACGTTCAAGTTATTTTTCTACACACATGATCACTGATGTACTGTGCTACACAATCATATATGTATATTTTATCTACCTTCATCGCTTATCTCTCTTTGTCTCGGTTCATAAATCAAGGTGACTTTGGCCGCGTAAACTCAAAGCTGAAACCTTCAAGCAGTAGCGGTTATAGAAGTTGGCCTAGGGACCCAAGTCCCTCCCCTAAACACTCTCAAAGCCCCCCCCCCCCCATCAACTTTTTCCTGATTATACGAATACATAATTATAACCGAGGCATAATTATGTAAATGAATGCAAAGACCCCCAAGTGCCCCAGCCCCCAAAGCCCCCCCCCCCCCCCCCATTTTTTTCTAGAACCGCCAATGCTTTTTATGAACCATTGTAATCCGCATGATCAGTGTACGTGTATAAATTACTATCATTGTCTTCTTGCTATCATTATAAAGCACTGAGCTTGCAATTTAGTGCAGTGCACATGTACTTAGGGGTAGGGTAGATAATGTTTACTGTGGGCAAACAATGTTTAACGGCCAACCATATTTAGCAAATATGAAATTCAAGCCGATTTCCCATATTTGAATCTCATGGTTTCGAGGGTGTGGCAACATTATGATTATACCCTCCACATTTTGAATATAGTAATATTGTTGAAGTATAAGTTAGAAAGCAGTGTGAAGGCCTCACGGTAGCTTCGCTTTAGAGTTTATATCCTAAATAATAATAATTTATATAGAATTGAAAGTAATCCGCGCTTAATACGAAAATGATTTTGTAATAAAAATGGTTGGATGGTTGTTTCAAGTGGTGCATCTGTCCAAGCCAGTCGCGGTGTAGAGCTACGAATTAATGGGCACGTATACGTGGGTACATGACCAGGGGAGTGTTTCACAAAGACTAAGATCGACTTAAGTTGGACTTGAACTATGACAGGCCGTATATAGTCCAACTTAGGTCGACTTTAGTCTTTATGAAACACTCACCAGTTGTGTATATGGCAAATGGCAGTCCAAAAAGTCGACGATTTTCATAAAATGGTGTTTGGGATGTGTAAATGGGCACATAGTTGTCTTTTAAAAAGACATTGTAGCATTATCTTTAATCAAGGGCAAAGGTCCGCTTCCGATGATATTTTCAAGTGCCTTTATATAAGTTCATATAATACAAATCGGTTGTTCAGTTTGTTTAATGTACTTTATCACAGAACTAGGTTACTGATAATTCAACGCTCACGGTAAAGTTCAAAGCGTCTACGATAATATATTTCACATTCAAATACAGCAAACATATAAATACATGTAAAACAAATACATCGCGGAATCGGTATTTGCTGATGAATCGAAAGTTGGTGAATACGATTTCCTTGAATGAATATAGGTCGCATTATTCAAGTCATACGAAAATGACTTTCAAACCTGTTGTAAACGGTCGCACACAATCCATCTTTGTATATCTTGGTCCAAAAACGATTTGAGATTTTTTCATGTTGCACCGCACCTAGCCACACCACACCACACAACACTACACCACATCACACCACATCACACCACACCACACCACACTGGCACACCACACCATGGGACTCCACAATAACATCGCACCACACCATACAACACTCATCAGCATATCTCACCACAATAATTAACAACATACTCGTTAGTAATTTTCTTTAATTTGGGCTTCTATTTATTAGAAATAACAATTCTACAATAAATGCTATGCGAGTCTTTGAGTGGAAGAGAAAGTATAAAGGCATCTAATAATTTTAAACTATACAACTTTATTTCGTAAAAAGTGATTAAGTTTTTTACGCAAATGTGGTATATGAAAGGTGGGGCGCTTGCTACGAAGGCAAAATAAGCAAAGACTAACTCTAAATCTATACGAATTCACCAAAATATTGTTGTCTTAAATCTAGGTATGCGTAACGCAAAATGGAGGAAGACTGCAGCTTAGAATTAATGACATTAGTACGTGACGTTGTCAGCGCAACTGTTAATCAGAAAACTGCAAGGATATTTGTTCTAAGATCGTTCATTTAAATATATCGAATCGGCTCAAACGTACGACAAACCACAAACTCGTGACTATACATCTAGAGATCTATTTCTTGCAAATGGATTGCACCACTCTTCTTTCTACTCATTCGTAAATAATTCTACGTTATCTGGTCATGTTTCATTCGTTTAAAGTAAAATGTTACAGATAAATTCAATAAAAATGAAATGGCATCGTTGTTTACGTCACTTTTAAAGTGAAAATTTAAAAGTAGGCTAGACACAACAGGAATGTGATATTCTGTATATCGGTTTGTCCTGGATCATCGGTGCAAAAGGGTTTTAGGAGTAAGTGATATACACTTTGAATCAGGGGTGGGCGATAATGGAGGTAGCTTGGGGTAGGAGGCACTCCCCTGAAACACATGTGTACATAAAGAGATACATTTAAGGAAGGGCGATGGACAGATAAGGAAATGAAGAGAATGATAAAGAAAGGAAGAGATAGAAATAAACGAAAGAAGGAGATGGATGAGAAGGAGAGAGAAAGAGATACATTTTATATTTAAATTAGATGAAGGCGGAGGAGGAGGAAAAAGGACAGACAGAGAGAGAGAGAGAGAGAGAGAGAGAAAGAGAGAAGAGGAAGAAGAAGGAGAAGAAGAAGGAATACCCCGACCCCATCCCATAATTTCCCGTTGCCTAGTCCATAAGACACCCCTGAACATAATTACCTATCGTGTGCTTACAATATGCCTATTTGGGTTATTCAAGGAGCATTTCCCCCCTCCCCCCCCCCCCCCCCCCCCCCCCATGCCCACGGATCCACAATTGCTACATTTATTTAGAGGTCAGGAGACTTTGTCTTGTATCCATAACCTAGGACAAGTTCCCGTCTGTCACTCACTTTCGTCTTGATTACCATCATATAGTATATAGTAAGTGCAGTGTATTTGTTCACTACCCCTTCTCAGGCCCCACTGTCCATACGATCGGAATCGACTTGGAATACTTTGAAAAATCAGCGAGAGAAACCAGTTCCTGTCCAGGCGCCGAGAAAAGAAGCCTACAGTCGATAAAAGCTCCGTGTAAGATAGAAATAAAACAACGAAAGAACAACGCAAAACACGACCGTATTTATTTATGAAACTTCGAATGCATTTATAAAGCTTCGTTTATAGTAGTAGGTAACGTAAAAAAGGTCAGTCGAACTCACAAATGTATTCAGGTCTTTCAAATTCTTTAATATGTGCCTCTTCTACATTTGTTACGAGTGAGAACAATATTTTTTTCAAGGACATGCCCGACATAGCAACGGCCAATTAATGCAACATGCATACTAGCTGTTAACAATAGATTTTGTCAACAAAGCTTGTCTGTTAATACAATAGTTCGTTACAAGAAGCTGGACTCCATGAAAAAAAAAACGGTTTACTAATATTTCAGATTTTATGCATACTCTTTAAACAAAGGTCGTTCTTGACAACCTGAAGGCATGGCCGAGGCTTGCCCGACAATTCATTTTGCAGACTGGATTCCAAGTATTGTAATTCTTTCATTAAGTAGAGGTTATTGTCACTAGGTCCTCAGGGAAGAAACAGCCATACATTTAGTTAAACCGTTATTAAACCGGTCGATTGAATACGTGTATGAACTGATTTGATATTCGCCCACGCACGTAGTCCTCCTATATTCAATTGGGACTTTTAGACTTGCACGTCGACATAGTGGACTGCTACGTGTAACGTCCTTTTAAGGCGCACACGTAGCAGTCCACTATTTCGACGTGCAAATCTGCCTTAAAAGGACGTCACACGTAGCAGTCCACTATGTCGACGTGCAAATCTAAAAGTCCCTATTGAAAAAAAAATATGTTCACGCAAAAGGATGAAGGCACCCTCTCCGAGTCGGTGGCATCAAAGACTGTTTTGAATTGGGTTTCGGACCAATGTTTCTGAAAGGTTGCATGACATTGTCAAATAATCAAACAGTTACAAAAGAGATCCTGGATTATTTTCATGTACGGTAATGGAAGACTTACAAAAGACCTTGCAGACATAAACTATCAACAATAAATGTCCAACAACCCCCTTTAGCATTGCTAAAGGGGGTTGGTCGACGTCCCTGTACCCTTTCTTTGCATCGATAACGTTAAAGATATGTGATTCATTTTGTATCCATACCAACCTTTAAGACTTTGTTGTGATAAATACAATTATTTGACTACATAAACATAATTTATACAAGCATATTTAATTTAACAGCAGGAATTACTAGAACGTCAAAAGCTGGGTGCTTCTCGTAATGAAAGTTGTTCGAAGATCGGAATATGCGTTGAAGGGATCTTCGAGTTGTTTGTATACAATGTGTATTCTATACCGTGAATGGCAGTGACATCATGAATAAAATGATTATTCTCACAACGATGAAAATCTCCCCCTCCCACGCATCATTTCTACGCCAAAAGTTTAGGAGGGGGTGACGAAAGAAGTCGCGCGCAAAGACCTGATGATACGATGAACAATATTTAATAGTGAAATGGAAGCATAAGGAATGTCACTTACCAGTGGTAATCTACTCATGTTGGAGTTTAAATATTGCCACTTGTTTCCAGAGTAAATAAATCACAAAAATTGAACAAGAAACTGAAGACACAAAAGAGGTAGATGTTGGACTCTCCACTGTCGTATGCTCCAGAAACAGATTACTCTTAATACACTGCGCTGTCGTCAAAATACGTCCGCCACGACCCGCGGTTATATCCACGACTGTGGGTTATTCGCTGCAGCTAATTGTGGGAAGAGCCTTGCAATATGGACAGATATCATGAATCGAGAGAAAGAGAGCGGGGAAATAGAGAGAGAGAGAGAGAGAGAGAGAGAGAGAGAGAGAGAGAGAGAGAGAGAGAGAGAGAGAGAGAGAGAGAAAGAGAGAATGAGGAGAGATGGGAGAGAAAACAAAATCGGCAGAAGATAACACGCTTGATAGTATACAGCGCGGGATAAACTTTGCTACGGCTACGAGTGAATGATTAACCGAAAGCTGCACGGGACCCGAGATAAAAACACACACTCTCATCTTAACCCACACCCACATGCTCACTCACTATGTACGTCGCGCACACACACAAAAACACACACGTTCATCAAGCGCATGCATCCATGCACATTTTATACACACTTGTTTCTCCGAGCAACAAGCACGATCAAAGATTGCGAAGAATTGATGGAGAGTGCGCGAGAGAAGGTGCGTGATAATACATGCGTGTGTGGGTGCGTGGGTGTGTTTATGCTTAAAGGAAGTAGAGTGAGGGAGGGGCCTCCTCGTGTGTACTAGGACATCACTAGAAATCGTTGTTTACGGATGCTAAGTGGCGCATTGTCGGGCCTTCATTTTCATTAGAATGTCTCTTTAGGCCATGACAAAAATACACTCACTATAACATGATGAGCAGGGGCGCCGATCCATTATCAGAAGGAAGGGGGGGGGGGTGGTAGGGCGGTATATAGGCCCTACACTGATTACAATCATAAAATACACAGACCATTGTATAATTACTGGGGAAAAGGCAAATGCTTATCAGTATCCAATATCCTCAAGGATAAAGTACTGGTATCACTGGACAGCCTATGTTAACTTTGTTAAAGGGTACTCCATTCGTATGAACATCTTACTGAGGACATGCAGGTTAAATTTTGCCCCAATATTTTTGTTGATAATGAGTACTCCGTTGTAATTACTCTCTCTTTATTCGGGCAGTCGCTGCCTTCATTCATGATTTTTTTTTTGTCTTCAGATTATATTCCTCGGCAATATATCATTATTTGAGTATCAATACGTTTGGAAGTTTCCTCCCAGACAAAGTATACAATTATTACAAATTATGTGCATGTTCTTCAACCCAAAATATTTCCAGGCGATTTTATAGCTTGTTAGAGGCTTTCCTGACTTGGAAACATCTCTTAAAATTCCAATAACCATACGATTGATATCAACTCACATTTCTTGTATGTTATCATCTCTTACAATATGTTGCCAAGTCAGTGACACCTCAGACAAGCGCATGGGTCGTCAGGAGAAACTTTTTTTTTCAAGAGGTGTACATAAATTTGAATTGATATTATTAGTCATATGGTATATGTTACCCTTTCACGTGTTCCTGTCTGTATGTTTGTTGGCTATATTGGCCAGGTTGACTACGTGCCAAAAATCGAAATTCACATTTACTCCTGAAAGGTCAAAGGTAAGAACAGAGGAAGTAGTCTATCTTTCAATCTCACATCTTCACTTATTAATAATACCGCAATGCTCTTTGCAAATGAACGAGGAAAAAGGATTTTATGGCAGATTTAATTGCACAAATTTGAAGGGGGAAATGCAGCTGTAACGTTTTTTAAAAACGCAATTCCGTCCAATGATTCTTTTTTTTTGGGGGGGGGGGGGGAGAATTTGGTTGCATTTCCTTTTTCAAATTTATGGCATAACAGGGATAGGGTTTTCGAATTGAAATACAATATTTTGAAAGAATTTAAAAGTACTTGTAAATTCCGTGAGACAGATAATGCAGATGGATCGACGGCTCAAGGGACCGACATTTTCGTTCTCATGAGCCTTCTTTATACATTGATTGATTGATTGATTTTTTATTCGACAAGCTTCCAACAAACAACAATATACAATAATAACAGATCAAAAATAAGTCAGCTTGAACAGGATAACCCACGAAAGCTCGAGAGCTTATTTCCAGTGGGGTCCCTAACAAACCCTATAGTTATAATCAGAGGGATAATAATGTCTGGCGCTGGCCTTCTAATAGTCAGACGCTACATGAGACCAAATGTAAACAAGATTGAGACAGTGTAGGTCTAATAAGGGGGGGGGGGGGCTGGTCCATGATTTCCTTTCAGGAGGGGGGGGGGGGGCAAGTCTGGAAAATCCCTCAATATTCTCCGACAAGCGAAAGGAAATAATTAATTTCCCTTTTTTGGGTCAAAGGGTGATGGCACAGGCAGGTAATTTTCCCCTAAAACCGTACGTGCCCGGGGCCTACTATTCATGTAAGTTTGTTCAACGAAGAGGCTCAAAGAAACAAACTAAAACAATGCCCGAAAGAATACTTCACAACGTAGATTAACCCCACAACCATAAACGCTTCAACTATAAACATAATGTTTCGATGCCACCACGTTCTGTAATTATTAAGAATAACCTCTCATTCTCTGGTAGGTTATCAATAAATTTAAATTGTATAGACTACCATCTCAATGTGATTCATTCTAAATGATCCAATTTCACTTCCATTATCTAAAAATCACTTAATATTGCCCAATGGAATTACTAATATTGTCCTACAAAACCAAAACAAACCTGATTTACACGCACTTGACATTGACGATAAACACCTTGTCATAAAGTCTGAGGGGGCCCCCTGTAAAATTCTGGCATGGGGCTTCAGGTTTCTGACAGGGATATCCCCCAGGGGAAGTCGGGGGTATTTCCTCTGCCGCCCTGTGCCCCTTCCCCCTCCTGTCAAATGGTGACGGGACTCAAGAAAGATTAACTTGACTCGCATTACTCACAGTGTTTACATGCAGGGGTAGGTGTATCCGTATCTTCTATGCAAGCAACTGCGAGATCATGTGTCTCTTATTGACTTTGTAAGTCTTGTTGCATCCCAGTATGTAGAAAGCCCTTCGCTGCTTATAATAATATTAATGATAATGAAAATAATACTACAAATTCCAGCCTGGCCTGTTGTTGAGAAGGAAAAAAAAGTGGCGAACACGACAGAGGACTAACAAAGATGGCGGATATCACGGGTGGGTGGAAAGTGGCAAACATGGATTAATTGTTTTGCCAAATGACGTTAGAGCCAGGCTGAGATACGAATCCTCAGCCCCTGGATTAAGAGTCAAGTGAACACCTATATTCGTCTATACCTTTATAAGTTGATCATGGACTTTGGCCGGCATTGTAACCTCTCGATGTTATTTACCAAACATATTACATCCACATTCAATCTGATTAATGTGTTTAAATTCTTACTCATGAACATAAAATATTGAAATTCATTAAAGTACAAATAAGTTCAAAGGTATATAAGCAAATGAACTATCGGAGCAAGCTGACAAACATTGTAGCTGCTTTACATTTAACATGCTTTTAAAATTCTTTGATTTGAGCGAACAGAAACGGTTGATAAAAGTACACATAGTCGCAGAAGATTTTCACGGATTTCAAACTTCGACAATTTTACACTCGAAGTAAAGATTTTGTTGAAGAGCTACTAAAGATTCATCTGTCTTAAATATTAAAACAGGAGGGTAGAATATTAAATTACTTCAATTTCTCAGCGCGACGGCTACAAAAATGTATTGATACATTATTATGTTTGCCTCGTTAGATGATTGATAGATTTGTTATCTAACTTGATTTAAATTTGCACAAATCTTCTTTTGAATTCAAGTTGTACTGACGTGTGCGGTTTGAAAAAGTTGCGTTAGCTTCATTTTATGAGGATGATGTGGTTACAATTTACATAATTATGACAATATAATTGCTAGTTAAAGACTTCTCACGTTAAAAAAAAGAGAAGTATTTCCGACCCAAAGAACATGATGGCAGAGACTGTCGAGAAATCAAGTCAAGTCATTGCACTCTTTGCCGGTGGAAATCATGCTCAGACTATGTAACGCGTCATCGTAATGTTTTCATATTTCAAAAGGTGACGGACAAGGCCATTGAAATTGACTAAGGATGACTTTTCGAAAGTCTTTGCGATCGAGTTATTCCCCGAAACCAATTTGTTTCCTATTGCGTCTTACTATTCAGAACAAAATAGTATTATCAACTTACTACTCACGGCCACCATGGCATTTACATCAAGTCATCAGGAAGCTGTATACTAAATTTCGTGAAACTCTTAATTAATAAAAAGGTAATTTAACATATTTTACTGAACATGCAGTGGTGTGATATCTCTATTCTCATGGCTATACTTTATAGATTTCACAGGACATAAAGCATAGGGTTATCCGATTATGTAGGCCTACATTTAACTCCTAGCTAAGCAAAGTAGTCAAACGAACTCTTACGGAAATATAGGTCACATAAATGTGTACAGGGAAGGAGGTCTGTAATTGGACAGTTTTACGCGCCAAATTGACTCAACATACATCCTTACCGCTAGTACTACAATGACATGTTATCGATCATAATTATCTAACTCTGTAAACACGTTTCAATTTCAAAGGTTAATCATTAGACAATTTTCATCTTTGGTGAATTATTCCCTGCAATTATTTTTTTCTGACACAGTCAGTATTGGTGTTAGTACAATAGCGTCATTAGTAACCATATATTTTACAAGCGGGGTGTTCTCCGTCACTGAGTGAAAAGTGCAATGCATGGCTAGCGAGATTGTGATGTTCATCATTCTGAGTATTCCATTACACTTTATACCGAGCGATCTTTATTCTAAATATTTCCCCTTTGATAGAAATATTTACAAATCTTTTGTATTATGCCTACAATGTGTTTAAAAGTTGTTATTATCGATAACATATATCCAAGATCACATGATGATGAATGCAACCTAGTTCTGTATACATCAGTATGCTTATATAAACCCTTTCTTCTGACTATTCTTGCTCTTTTTCTGCTAAGATTGGGATTTTGTTTCTTTCCTTCGCTTAATTCCCTCCCGTTACATCTTTCATCGTATATATCTGAAACAAATCTTCCATATTTATTTCTGATGTGTGTCGTATTTTGCTGTGCGACATATCTTTTCAACACCTTTTCTTAGTAGGCCCTATACACATTATGCTTCATGTATTTGCTCCTTCATCATTTTACTCATTTTT